AACTCAAGGACTAAATCCATTAGCTGGAAGCATTAACAAACATAACCTCTTACATGGACACTCAAGTAGTACAAAACTCTATAATCAGCTAATGTAGGTTACCCACATAATCCTTCCACTTGGCTACAAGTGCACCCTGTCTTCACCATTTCACATTTTAAATGTAAGCTGTTCATGGCATGGACAGCCTCCATATTGTGGATTTTTTTCTACATTTGCTCTTTGGCGTTGGTTGCTGGATGTTATTCACCACACATCCTTCAGCTGCTCAACATAATTCTCCTTGGCCACTGTGCTTCTTGTCCTTCTTCACTTAATCCTCCCCTTTATACCTCCCTCATCTCTGCTGTCAGCTATGCCTTTCTCTCCATTACTTCAACAACGGGGGCCCACCGAAAAAGCTCTAATACTATGCTTTTATATAATAAGACAATGTATATGGAAACATGGAAATAATATAAGGTGTATCTGTCATCACCTGTACTACTTTGTATATTGTATCCCTTCCCCCACACTTCATCTTTGCCTTTTTAGATCATAAACCCTTTGGAGCAGGGACTATGCCTCTTAATGTGCTTATACAGTGTTTAATACAATGAGGCCCTCATCCTAGAAGTGATACATAATAAATAATACTAAATAATAATAATAATAAATACTAAAGCTAAATCTAAAAAACCAAAATTGCTATTGATTACATCTTGACCAAATTGGAGAAAATGTCCCCTGAGTTACAAAGAGAAATGGTGCTGTGACAATGAGGTCATCTATCAGACTTGTAAAAAAACAAGAAATATTGTAAGAAAACTACACTTGCCAGGAGCTATATAACAGATCTCACTGACTAAATGGTAAAAACAGCCATTTAAAACACACCAGACCAATGTATTTCAGAGCAGCCCTGGTCTAACCTCTATTTGATTACAAACACATTGGACACCATTCCACAAAAATTTTGCAAGCAAGGCTGGTTCATAAGCTAATGCTGCCTTGGGCAGCTCTGACTTACACTCTATGTTCATTTTTAGGGGAGTTTAAAGTTTATATGATTCACTATTCAATTTTTAAAAGTACTTACTATAGCAATCTAACACCATGTATTGTGTGTTAATGGCCTCATCGGGGAAATACACCATTGCGACAAAGTTGGCTCAAGAGATAGGAAAAAACACTTTAAAACTTGAACATCTTGTGGTTTTCATGAACCAGCATTTAACTATATTTCCCCATTGTTGCATATTGCAGTATTTGACTCAAGTGTGTACAGTTTGATTAAAAGATATCTTTACTTCTGAAAAAAATATTACACAGCATAGATCAGTTCAACAAGTTTGCTTTTTGCAACATTCTAGCTCTTTGCAATTCCTTTATTGTAATGTTATAAATGTTATTACATAGCCTTATTGTGTTAAGAGACTTTGCATGTATTCTTGGTGACTCTACCACTGCAAGGTCTAACTCTTTAGATGGAAGTAGGTAAAAGAGCTGCGATACCAAATATATCCGAAAGTATATCACAGAAAACTTAGTCATCATCTCCTGAAATCCATCAAAATAGTGCAGCAGACATTCACAAGAAACCGGAGACCAGACTACGTATTCAGAATCATGTGCAGGTCTGACTCTATGGAAAATTGTTTTTGGTGACAAATAACTGTCTGTTCCTGTCCTAGCTTGAAGAGATCCAGCTGAACTGACCACAACTTCAAATAGCAAAAGCTGAAAGCGGTCTAACTGTAGTTCTGCAGAAGCATACGCCTGCTGTGAGGCAGAATTGGGCATCAGAAAAGACCTAACTGTAGATTTACAAGGATAATGCCATATGTTATCAAACCAAAAATCACAGCAGATCTGGAACATCTAGTAAAGTTTCTTTCATCTCACATATAACAAATAGACACATCCCATTATTTCAGAATTAAAAGATGGCAACATCATAATTCATGGCTATTTCAAAGTAACTGTAAGCAGGTCTGAATGAACTCTCCCCTGACACCTTGCTGGGAGTGCGAGAGACTTCAGGCACAAACTGTATTTACACGAACACACCTACTCTACTTAGATATCCAGCAGATAGAGCAGTGTTGATCAAAGTGATCAACTTTGGCTGGAGTTGGGTTACAAATCACATTAGTATACTTAATGCAGGGGTAGTGAAATGCTGTTATCAATGTTATTGTCTTCATTTATGAATAAAGGGGAGCAGAACTGTGCTTAACCTGTTCCAAATGCGGGGGTCACCCTCAGCTGAAAGTACCTAGTTAAGCCAGAGGCTCGAATGCCAGAGCCCTGTGAAAGTAAGAAGGGAGGAGACAGGTATCCTAGCCAAGAGGTATGGATGCTCCCTAAAGGTTCCCAGTCTGGTTTAACCTGTTCCTCCCCACCGTTCAAAGATAGAGCTAATTAGGTTCTATTAGGAGCCTTTGTTATTTTAAGTGCTTAAAGGAGAGCTGAAATCACTTGCGATAGCATTTCTGCCCAGCCTGCTAAAATCTGACAATCACTAAAAGACTGACCTGAAGTGGTCACAGCAGAGAGGCAAGTGGCAGCAGAAGGTAACTGCTGGACGGGAGGAGCAGCAAGCAGGAGCCACCAGCAGGGCAGCCAGCAAAAAGGAGCAGTGGCTAGCGGGGTGACCAGTCACAGCAAGTGCTCAGATGGTGGAGCAAACAAGCTGCCTTCTTCCCTGGGTGGGAGGTGAACTCACACAGATGCACCTCTGAACCCTGGGTCTTCACTGACCAAGGACAATCATTGAGTGGGGTATGGTGAGGGAGCAGAGAGGGGCACAGTAAAGGAACTTTTGGTTGTAGAACTCAAGAACATGAGGCAGAAGACACTGTCCCACGCACTCTGGAGTGGGCGTCCTGCTCACACTTTTATGATTATGAATCCTGCTTGTGGCATTTTAACTAATTAATGTTGGGTGACTTCTCTCCTTTCATTAAAAGTTTCTTTTCTACACTCAGACTCTGTGCTTGCGAGTGGGGAAGTATTGCCTCTGAGAGGCATCCAGGGGTGATGTGTAATTTTCCTAGGGTACTGGGGGGGGGCTCGAGTCAGTTCTGTGTTGTATTGTTGAAAAGGAACCCCTGGCAGAAGGGTTACATAACTATAAATCTGGTGTTAACATATATGCAGAATAATCACTTCATTGCACTGAAGATCTCAACAACATTGACCTATTGAAAGCTTATTCACAAATGCAAATGGAGAAAAATCCCAAGAATTACTAAGAATAGTGACACATCATGAGGATTTGTACTAATAACACTATTTACATTTTGATGATAAAAATGGCACCAGCCATGGTCAAAAGAAAATGGTTCAGTAGGTTGATAAGAGTATAGTACTATCTAGATAACATTCTACTGACTTGCCAGAATGAAAGAAAATGCATCTCAAGAACCAAGATGCATCTCTGGAGGATTATGGTCAGAGAGCTCACAAGGTAATATATGAATTTTCCAGCACTCCAAAACACCAGATAAGGTCAAGCCCATAGTGTCAGTTTCCAGGTCCTAAAAATATGAGTAAATTACATACATTTCAGAGGATTACTGAATTATGGGTACTTCATTTGTCATCTGCCTATTGCACTGAACCCTCTTCAGAATCTAGAAGTGAAAAACTAAACTTAGATAAATGAATGTTACAAAGGAGGGGGTGGATTTTATGTTTTCTACATCCTCTTGTTGATTGCAATGTAAGGGCACGTCTTCACTACCTGCCGGATCGGCGGGTAGCGATCGATTTATCGCGTCTAGTGTAGATGCGATAAAATCGATCCCCGATCGCTCTGCCGTCGACTCCGGAATTCCACCGCAGCGAGAGGCGGAAGCGGAGTCGACACCGTCCTCACAGCCAAGTAGCTGAAGTTGTGTATCTTAGGTCGACCCTTCCCCCCTCCCCCGGAGTGTAGACCTAGACTAAGTCCCACTTTCCTAGTCGTCCTTTTTTAGAAACAGCACCACCTAGTGACTTGCCTCCTCTTAGCAGATTCTAGTCAAGCTCACTTTGCAGTTCTGACAGCCCCTGAGGGCATGAACCACATCTTGTAAAATGATCATTTATGTTTACTGTACAGTGCTATATACATTTAGATTATTCTTTATGTGGGAATTATAAATATTTTTTAACTCAGTGACTATTTGATAATCTGTCTTGTCCCTTCCCTGATCGTCCCTGACTTCTCATGGCTAAGCAGCAACAACATTCATAGAAGATGACCGCCCTGCTCCATTCAACTCTTTGGCAGGATTTAAAGAACAGGTGGTTCTGAAGCTATGTTACTGCCAAATATCTGAGTGAAACAGGATTGATAGTAGTGGCTTCTTGTTGAAGACTTGTTACTGTTGAACTGAAAAAAGGAAGAGACATGAGGAGGAAGAAGCAAGAAAAGAAGAGGAGGTAGGAAGAGGACAAAATGTGGAGAGAGGAAGGAATTTAAAAACTTCACACACCTCATGCAGATACTATATTACATTTATCTGAAATTACTTGAGACTGCGTAGACATAATTGAAGAGTTCTAGGTTTGATGCACTTCAGATAATTTAAAAAAACTTTTCTTAGTTTGGTTTTGTCATGGGAAAAGCACACAGATATTGCCAAAATGTCAGTACAGCTGCCCAAGTATATTTCTTCATCTAAAGTGTGGTGAAAAGGATCTGGTCTTCTATAGCCTATAGCTGTCTCTGCCTTTTGGCTATCAGACCAGAGGCCCAAGGAGAACTCAAGGAATTGTGTGTAACCAGAGCTGCAACTTCCTTTTGTGGGAAATAAATTCTTATGTCCTCTCAAATCTCTGTCTCCAAATCCTAGGTTACCTATATTACATCACTTTCCCAAACCAGATCAGACCAGTACATCCAATTAACATCACCCATGCTTATTGTAAACCACTACCTGAATAATTAGGAGGTCATTATCTCCTTAAGTGTCCCTTTCATCTTGCATTAATGGTCTTCCAAACCTTTGAAATGGGCCCTTTGTTAGCAGGTTCTAGAGCAGCTCCTTTTAGAAGAACAACAAAAATAAAAGTGGATTTCCCTACCTTTACAAGTCTGTCAGATCCTTGAAAAGAAATCATACAGGTAAGAGACATATTTTGAGATCATGATCATTCTCAACATCATAACTTGTAAATCCAGGTACAGCTCTCTGTCACTCTGCATGTTTCACTCTGCATGATACATTACAAGGCTTTTCTCTACAGATGCTCCATGTTAGCTGTGTCCCTTTTTCCAGCAGTTGCTGCTGTTGTGGCAAGACTCCCTTTAACCCCTAAAGCACTTGCAAATATCTCAATCAGAAATGTGTCCTATGGGTACCAAGGAGAGCTGCCCCGTGCACTCTTTTGAATTTCATATACTTCTGCAGTCTGTTGCTCAAATTTAGGATAGTGTTTATTTTTAAATTTGGCTATTTGTATGCGATGTTTCCCATGTAAGAGCTTCCTGGAAATACTGGGGAGTTTTTAAATATTTAGATCCTAATATTGGAGAAGTTTGCTCAAGCACTTGTTAGAGAAATTGAAACACATAACAGTAAAAAACATCTTCTTGTATTTCGGAGTCCAGCGCTTGGGGTTGAGAGGCAGTGTGATCCAGTGTTTCAAACTGGGATCTTGGAAGGTCCTGGATTCTTATAATCTGTATTTATCTATTGCAGTGGTTCTCAAACTGTGGGTTACGACCCCAGTGTGGGTTGTGACCCCATGTTAATGGGATCACTGGGGCTGACTTAGACTTGCAGGGACTTGGGGCCAAAGCCCAAGCCCCACTTCCTGGGGCCCAAGCTCAAGCGATTCAGCCCTGGGCGGTGAGACTCAGGTTACAGGCCCCCTGGCTGGGGCTGAAGCCTTTGGGCTTCAGCTTTGACCCCTTCCCCGCTTGGGGCAGTGGGGCTCGGGCTTTGGCTTCCCCCCCAGCACATGGGGCAGTGGGACTTGGGCAGGCTCAGGCTTTGGTTCCCCCCCCCCCCGGGATCATCTAGTAATTTTTTTGTCAGAAGGGGGTCACGGTGCAATGAAGTTTGAGAACGCCAGATCTATTGCATTAACTTAATATATTATCTTTCACAACCCACTTGAACTCAGTCAACGTAGCTGTAAACTGAACAAGGTTGAAACTACATTTGGATTATATATACTAGATAAATACATCATAGTCTCCTTTCTCTCCTTCCAATCTGTAGCTGAGGCCTGGCCTGACATGAGAATTAACACACGAAGGGAAGCCTCATCTCTTGGAGGATAGAATTAGGGAAGTAAACATATCATTAGGTTTAAAACAGAATATTTGTTCTAAATGAGATAAATAAATAGGTCAATAGGCTAAAAAGATAGAATGTCTGAGCCAGCTAAGATAAGAGGGAGAACACACAGGGAACCATTCACTAACAAGGGATGAGATAAGTTAGGAATGTAAAGATGAGGTAAAGAGTTGGTTGAATATGGACAATGCATGGACACAGCACAGGGACTGGTTCCCGCAAGGTAACAAAGCTAATCCCAAAACACGTGATATAATATGTAGTAAATGCAAGGTAGTGTGCAAATGTATATAAAGGATGAGGTTTTCTGTGTACCTTTGGCTTGATCAACTCAGCATAGATTTGCTGTATGCCAAATAAAGGACCCTGAATGATGAAATCTGGAGTCAAATTGAGTTTTTTGAATCCCAAAGAACTGGTTGAAGCATTTTCTCAGAACTGGACAAGGTTTTCTGGATAAGCTAAGTGGAAAAGGTATCAGAGGGAATCCCAACACAAATCAGCCAAGTAGTAGATGATATCTTATAGGTAACATATCTAGAACAAAAAAACATTCACCAACTGATAATTTTTCTCAGAAAAATTTAAGAAGAAATTTCAAAAATGAAAACTAGGTCATGGTCAATGCATCACAGAGCCAATAGAAAAAAAGATAACTCGTATTCCCAATAAGTTACAATGTTCTTCCAATGATATAGATGGCATTTGTAGCCTATAGGTATTTGCTACGTAAGGGTGGGCATAAGTTAAGGCAGTAATGTACTGAGCCTACAAGGCCTGTAAGACAATAGCTTAGATAAACAAGGCACAGGGCCTAAAAGCCTTAACATAAGCAGCTAGCTAGGAGTAACCCTAGGTCCTAGGATATCACAAGGTAGAATGCTGTAATGACTAAACTGCTAGACAAGTAACCACAGGATGCTAGTTTATACCAACTTGGGATATTTTAAGTTGGTAACATCAGCAGATGTCTGACCACAAGAGAGCCATGGTAACTAATTGACATATATGCTAATAAGCTTGAGGTAAAAGGACTGGTAACCTATGGGAGAAGGGCACCACAACATTAGTAGGGTGAGGAAATACAAATAAAGAAAAGGAGAGAAATGCCTACAGAATATGCATCAGGCGTAGTGGTGTCAGTGTAACAGATTATAAAAGTTGTATCCTTTAAGAGGTAACTCTTGGGAGATTTCAAGATGACCACTGGTGATGCGGATGAGAAAGGTGATGATGAGGAGGAAGATAATGACTAACATTTCAGGTTGTTCTGCAAGGGATGGTGTGAGTTTATGGATGCTCAGATTCACATTCTGTATTATCTCTACCTTGCTGGGTTGGAGTGTTACTAATTTTGCAAACTGTATTAATACAGTAGAGCCTCAAAGATATGAACACCAGAGTTAGGGACTACCCAGCGAACTTGACACCCTGTGGAACTGGAAGTCCTCAATCAGGCAGCAGCACAGACCAAAGAAATAAAATAAATACATTTTTTAAAAGGGCAATTTAAAGCCCCAAAGCTCAGGGCTTCAGCTGTGGGGGTGGAGGGTATTAGGGCTCCAGACGGGGGGCGGGGCTGGGGGCTTCTGACCCTCATGAGCACTGGGGCTCAGGGCTTTAGATGGGGGG